CAATTTTTCCAGGACATTGACCGTTCAAAGATGTAGATGGTGATGGATGAGCTTCTGAACTACAATCCAAATGTCCATCGCTACAGTGGGATCCCTTTTCATACAACTCTCCAGAACATGCAGAGGGGGGATCTAACATTGTATCCGTTGGTAACACTGGTTCTGAATTAATTGCATTGCCTGTTTGATCGTGATTGACTTCATTTGGTGAACTCAACAAAAGCGACAACCCATCAACATCCATGAAAAACAGCTCATCCTCATTGCTCGTGTTCAAAAGAGAATTGGACGGTTCCACTAAATAACAACCTTCAGCAGTGGCATTTGGACTTTTCAAATGATCATGCTGCACTTCAATCTTCAACTTTGAGTTAGAGTGAGCCTCATAGCCCGCTAATCTTGCATTTTGAATGTTGTTGTTCCCATCATCATCAGGGAGTTCAAAAGAGTCTCCTGTAGGCACATCCTTATCTGCAAAGCCAACATCAATTGGCAAGGCTGACAAAGCATTTCTCCATATTGGCATGCCAGGAAGAGGAGATGAGTACTCGACATTATGAAAAGATGCACCAGAATCAGAAACAGGAGAATTGAAGACATCGTTGTCTTCTGGTTCAGAGCCCATCACTCTCTGATCAGTGCTCAGTTGCCCAAACGTAGAAGGTCCCGCCTCCAAATCATTTTCAAAGAGGTTATGGACTGGAAAGCTAGCTGATGGAGCCAATTCCTTAGCATGAGATTCATTGGCAAAAGGCAGATTATCTACCATAATGTGAGAAATTCCCTCATGTCCATTATCCAGGTTCTGAGGAAAATGCTCAACAGTATGTTGACATCCAGAATGAAAAGTGTGCTCAGTATCGTCATTATTCATCGCATTTTGGGAAAAATTACAGGGCAAGATGCCCAGCTCTGAGCTCTGAAGACCAAAATCATCTGATGTTGGAGGGATACAATTCCCTGACATAGGCTCTTCAGTGACATAGTCACTATCACCAACAAGATAACTCGGGCCCATAGGATTAAAGGGTTCATTGCAAATTCTTTTACGCAAAGCATAATAGCAATGGCGCACACTCCCAGATTTCCTCTTCCCACCAATACATTTATTTTCTTTTGAATTCCCAAACTTGTTGAACTTTGATGGAAGAATGGAAGAAGAACGCTCAACATCAATCATGGACATAGATGCATCTTCAGATACAATTGGATCATAAAGTAAAGAATGCCATCGTTCTTGCAATTCTCTTACTGTGAATCTTCGAGAAAACTGCACAGCACCTTTGGCAAGGGCCTCCAAGGAAGCACCCGCCTGGAAGATTAAAAAATTAAAATGTATCTCAAAAAGCATCAGCACACTAGTTCTCTTGACGCCAAATGGGCATAAAATTGCATTCCAAAATAACTGAAGCACATAATGGTCTACTAAACTGTGGCTCAAGAAGAAGAAGAGGGCTCTCCACTTATGTATCAATGTGCAAGAATCAAATCCTTAACTGTTTTCTCTTTTACATCCTTTACATCCTTTACATCCTTGCCTCGAGACAATGAAAAACATAAAATATATGATTCCTTTAGAGTGCTTTAAAATAATAGACCTATGTTCCATACTTAAATAACCATTGTCGAATTAAAACTTCAGACAGATAAGGTAATTAAATTCTTTCTAGTTATTAAAAATGAAAGTTCAAACACATCTTAATTTAACTTTCAACAGTAACATATCTTAACTTGGCGTGATAGTGACCATACTGTCAAGGAGAATGCCCCGCAGTTTTACACAGATTTGCCGCAACAAGAACAGTACGGTTTCACACACACACACACACACACGCACACAGAGTATACGAGAAGGAAAATAAACGTTCAACAGTAAGGAGCAAAACGGTACTCGATATACAACAGCCGTAAGAGATTTAACTCCGCAGTTGAGACAAGAAGGGAGAGAAGTTTACCTCGACGGCGTTCTTGAGCAGAATATCATCTTCAGGGCTCCAAGGCGCGATAGGGGCAAGTGCTCCCATCTCCGTGATGCAATAATTCCTTACCAGTCCCCGTTTAGAAGGAGTGTAATGTTGGCACTAACTGTAGCAGCGAAGTTGTGCAGGAGAAGGGTTGAGAGAAGGAAGACGAAGGATATGGCGTCGGGCGGGTTTAAGAGAAACCCTAGAGAAGGAAATTTGGGGAGAAAGGAAAGCGGCGTTTCTCCAAACGCGGCGAGGCAAATCGGTAGTGATAGCATGGAATTTCTGTGAACTCCCGATGCAAACACGACACGTGCGAAGTGCGAACTTCCTTCTTTTCTGTGACCGTCACCTGCTGCCTTCTTGAGGTTTTCTCAACTTTGTTTGCCCGTCGTCCGATCCTCTGCGCATATCTGGTCCCACCCCCTAGTTCCAGCATATCTCTAAGGATAGAAACTCTTTTTTTTTTTTTTTTACCAAAATTAACCTCAACATGGATTTTGATTTTTTACCCATTCTTCATAAGTACACTCGATTTTTTTTTTTAAATACTTTGTTCTAGGTTAATCTCTATGTTTTTAGAGAAGAGAAAAAAAAAAAAAAAAACACCAATTTTGTATGCATGGGCCTAATCTTATGTAAAATTGAAAAAAAAAACAATGACGGCTAATGTCAACTATTCTTACCCGACTAAGTAAAAATAGCATCAAATTTTGATTGAACCGAGATTATAAGGACTATGCCTCGAGACCATCTCGGAAAGGTATTAGTCCATTTCATTTAAGAATATACACATTATTCTTAAAATTATGTCATTAATATTAACAAATCGTATCCTGGGGTTACAATTGCATTCAAAATTTATGAAATCTAAAAAATTAGTTATATTAAGAATCACAGACTTCCATAATAGTATGACTTTATCTACCTTAAGTATGAGCTTATCATTTTACTTTTGGATTTGTATTCTTTATTTATAAATTCATTATCATTCGTAGGGATAAGAAGATAAGAAGTTGATGGCATTAACCCTGCCTCACTTATCACTTCATCATGAACTCAGTAGGAACAAAACTAAACCATTTAATCCCATTTTCTTCAGTGAACAACAAAAACGTGCCACTTAAACGCTGAATCGAGCCAAAAACGAAAGAGAAAAAGGGGGAAAAGAAGACTTAGATAGCTAACCCACATGGGTTGTTGTCATGAGTTTGTGCAGCCACTACTGAAACACAGTGATTGGTTCCACAAATTATGAGCCAAAAGCAAAGAAAATGAAAAGGCTAATGCCTTAACATATGGAATTGGACTACTCAAGCAGCGGATAAGTAGTGAGATCCGAAGGGTGGGCGTGGTGCATATTAGGATGGTTGGGGTGGAGCCGTAGTGCAAAAATGCGAGGGCCTCCGCCGCCTGAGTATCTCATCATTGAATCGTAGTCCCCTCCTACTCCTTCATCGTCTACCAACCCATAGTGTGGTTCTTCCCCTGTTGCAATGTCCTATACCAAATCACGTAAACAAATCTTCAACATAACATTAAATTAGATGAAGTTCTTAGAAGATAAGGATTACAAACTTACAAACTCCTGGAGAAGAGTCTTGTGAATTTCTCCAACACTCTTCAACTGCATACCAACAAGTAGAGAATAAAACAAGGCATTGTTTCTAAAAAGGACTCCAGTTCATTCCAATTTACCTTCTTCTTGTGCGTTTCAATCTGGTTTGATATCACCCGGTACTGTTCAACAGAGTTTCAAATCATTTCTTTTCTCATAACTATGCATTTTAAAGCATTCAATTTAGTCTATCCAACCTTGCGTTCCCTAATGATCCTCACAGCATTATCCATATCCTGCTCTAAACAACGCAGCTCTTCAAAGCTCAGATCATTCATATATTCCCCCATCCTCTGCCTATTAATTGATTCAGATCATCAAATAAAACCAAATCTGTTCCGAAAAAATGTAGATTAATACCTAATTTGTCTGCGGAGATTTCGATTCACATCTTTGAGCTTCTTCAGATTCTCTTGCATTCTCTACACAGAGCAAAATTAATAAGGCGTATACACGAATCATGAGATTGGAAAAAGAAGGGGAAATCAGAGACCTGGAAGTGAGAGATCCATAGATCGACGCCTAAAGTCTTCTGGTAGTGATCGAAAAGCTCCTTGGTCCTGGAAGGATCGAAATGAATTGAAGGAAAAGGAAGGAATTAGGGTTTGAGAGAGAGATACTTACGAGGTGGAAGGGCTGATATACTCATGGAGTTTTCCGGTACTCGAGAACATGATAATGGAGACTCTGGCATCGCAGAGCACGGTGAGCTCGTTGGCCTTTTTGAAGAGGCCGTTGCGTCGCTTCGAGTAGGTGACCTGCCTGTTGGTAGGATTCTCGATTCGCTTGATCTGGATCTTCCCTCGCGCCATGGATGTAACAATCGCTTAGGGTTTTGAAATCAGGAGAGGATTGATCGCAATAAGAGGAAGAAGAGGAAGAGGAAATGAATTGGGCATTGCCGGAAATGGAAAGAATGGGTCCAATTGGGTGAAAGTGATTCCAGGTTTTACGATAAACATCGTAATGTCTTTGTTTACTTCGTATGGGGAGTCGGGACCATTACTTTCCGTCTCTCTAAAAAACATTGCTTCAAGTTCAAACATGTTCTTAATAATTTCATCCAATCTACCTCTCTGTTCGTTGAAATCCGTGAACAAACACACACCCAAGGTAACCTAAGCTACCTCCGCTGTAACACGAGTAGTAGGCCAATGCCTTTAACGTTGTTGAACTCCGAAGTAATGTCATTTCAAATAAATAAAAACGTCTTTCACGTCCAATCAAAACCCTCCCTTCTTGAATTTCACGCCCAAAAAAAAAGAAAGTAATAATAGTACTATCATAAAACATTATATAAAATATTAAATAGTTGCACAATATTTGACTATAATAAATAAATGTTCTACTAAATGTACTCAATAATCTCAATTTGGTTTCTCTATACTCTGATTAGGATATTTGTTTGATGGGTTTTTGGCTCAGATTCAGTTGATGCTGTTGGAGGTTGGGGTTCTTTTAAGAGATGAATCCAAATGGTTGCTGGGGAGATTGTAAAGGGTGTCGTCGTCCAATGAGAGCACGTCGGAGTTAAGCAAGGTAATGAGGAAGAGGAGGAGGGCGACGAGAACCGAAAGGGCAAGAAGAAGAAGCATTAGAAGCTTGGCAGGGAGAGTTTGGATGTGGCGATGGTATTCAACGGAGGCAAGAGCAAGCGCAGATAGTGGAAAGGAGAAGGCCCACCACGCTATATTGAATCTCTTCATTGCTCTCCTGAATAGAAAAGGTCTACAAGCTAGTGCCATGAATATAAACAGTGACAGAAAAAATAGCATTTTTGACGTCATATCAAAACCCCCGTTTATTGATTCCCATGCCACGCTCGCCACGCTTGGCGCTGCTATGTGAAGAAAGAACACCGGCCGGAGCATGGACGGCAGCCGATTCGCGCCGGAGAATCGTTGATAAAGTGTCACGAACAACACCAAGTAATGAACGATGCCCAGTGAAAAAAAGCACAGGGCGCTCTCTTTCCATCCCAGTTTGGCCGCCGCCTGCGCGCCCACCAAATTTCCGATTACCGACAGCTGGCTTGTCGGATTCGCAACGATGCATAGGAACCGCCTTCCTTCGGTGAACCACTGCCCGTAGATTTTCACGTCCAGAATCACAACTGGGATTGCAAAAGCGCACCACAGAATCTGTGGAGAATATGAATAAAATTATTTAATTAACAAATTTTGGATTACCTTATAATTTAATTGTTTAAGAAATGTATTTTTATAATAATAATAATAATAATTAATGAACTGAAATACGAACCATGTAGACAAAGTTTGGTGTGTCCAGAAAGGGCATGGACTGGAGCAAAAGGAACCAGGAAATCCAGGGGGCAAATAGGTAATTAACCCCAACATGATGAAAAAATTCGCACTGAACCAACGGGAAGTGAAAGACGCATCTCAAGAGGTAAAGAAAAGAGAGAAGAAAAAGAATAAAGAAAGCGAGGGACCACAGAACAAGGAGAACCGTTCGATGAATCGGACCGTGGTTCTCTTCCGCCAGCATTGCCCATATCAGTGCTTGCCCGCTTATAGACATTCCGATCCGAAAATACCCCGCGTGGAATTTCCTTAGCATTGCCTCCAACGCCGGCGAAATAACCGGTGGTCTCCGCCCGCCGTCGTTCTTTTGTGCCTCCATTTCAGCCGGAGATTCCATGGATCCGATTCACACGAATGAATCTTTACCGGAGATTTTTATTTCTTTTTTCATCGCATATTTCGTGTTTTTCTGAGTTGTAGTATTTTAATTAAGCCGCCTTTTTTTAGATTACCGACAGGCCCTTAACCGCCAAAATTTTATAAATAAATTAGGATGGGCCTCTGGGCCATGACAAGAATCGGGCTCATTACTCATGGGAATAAGCCCACGAATTAATTGGGCCGGAAATTAATAATTGGGCCGGAAATTAATAATTGGGCCTTAAGAAGCAAATCCATCTCATTTATGTTATTGTATCCCCTTTTTCCCCCCTAAACACCATTATTTATTTATTTATCTTTTTAATTAATTAGATAATACAATTATTATGAAAAAAAAAAATGAAAAAAAACAGGACGCGCTTATTACCCGGGAATTTTGCAAAAACTTCCCGTTAGATTTGACCAACTAATCTCCATCGATACGCAATTGCTTGGTTTGAAAGTCACATGTCCAAGTTGCGCCGCTTAATCATTAATTAATCCCCAACAAAACATCTTTTATGTGCCTCCCAAAATGGAAATATAATAATAAATAAATAAACCTCTAAAACTATGCCTATTATTTTGTTTTATTTCAATAACATATAATTCAAGAAACAAATCCACCAAACATAGCTTTAAAATCAAATACAAACGCTTAATTTTTCTGGGTTTCTTCTTCCAAATAGAGTAGACCACATTTTTACAGTTACCTAGGTTTTGTGGATCTGGAATTACAGAATTCCACGTTGACGATCCTTGCTGACGTGGACAACAATTCACCCAAAGATTAAAAGAATAAAACAAGGCGCGTACTATTTATTTGGAGGAGTTGGTTAAAAAGACAATGTTAATTATGGGATGGAAAAGTATCTGCGGGTTTTCCGCAACAAGGACGGTCGGTTAAAGCTGATGTTGATACGTGGACAATCCTCCACCGTCCGTTCTCCATGCAGAAATTCTTGAATCATCAACAGTCGACAGGATTCATTGAACTGAATATTTCTACAGTAGTGAACTGCGTAGCGACACATTAAATCCCTCCCCCCCCTCTCTCTCTCCCTCTCTCTAAAAACCCAACACAAAGAGAGACAGAGAGAGTTTTGTTTTAGTTGTCTTAAATGATCAGAGCGATCGATCTCAGTACTTAACACGACGGCGTTTTGCAGGCCACCTTCCAAATTCCACTCCATTATTGCATACCCAACAAATTAAATCGGTACCCTCTTTATCTTTCTTCCTTATCTTTCACTTTTGCCCTAGTTTTTTTTTTTTTTTCTACAATTTAACCAAAAACCCTAGAAAATTTGCAGGCCCTTTTGTATATATATGGCCGGAATTTGAGACGGTAAGGAACATTGGGTTGGTGAAATTATGACGGGGTTGTTATATTTAGGTGGTAAACAAGAGGATGATCAAGAACAAAGAGGAAGAGAGCAGCAATTGTTTTTGTACAATAATAGAAACAACGAGGAGATCTACTCCAAGGGGTTGGAGATATGGCCACAATATGGGCAGCAGCATCAAGCGGTGGAGAATTACATTTCCTTTGGAGTGGGGCCGAGTAGGATGAACTTGATGATCAACGCCTCTGATCATGAGTTTACCATGATGAGACAAGGAGCTGCTACTGGCGGCGGTGGAGGTGGGATTAATTGCCAAGATTGTGGGAATCAAGCTAAGAAAGATTGTACCCATTTGAGATGTCGGACTTGTTGTAAGAGCCGAGGGTTTCACTGTCAAACCCATGTTAAGAGTACTTGGGTTCCGGCTGCCAAGCGTCGAGAACGACAACAACAACGACAACAACAACAATTTCGACCAGATCAATTCGATCAAACCACTCCCAAACGCCATCGAGAAACTCAACCTTCTATTCCCCCTGCCGCGGTCACCTCAGGTCATTACTCTCAATTTGATATCATAGGTTAACTTTTAATGTGCAGATGTAATGACAATGGGAAACCATTTTTTTGGTTGTGAATTAGGGTTAGAACTTGCACATTTTCCAGCTGAATTCAACTCCCCAGCTGTTTTCCGCTGTGTCAAAGTCAGTGCCATTGACAATGTAGAAGAGCAATTAGCATATCAAACAGCTGTGAACATTGGTGGCCATATGTTCAAAGGCATTCTCTACGACCACGGTCCTGAATCCAGCCAGAATTTAAGCACCGGTGGTGAGAGTTCATATAGTCACGGCGGGGATGACGACGGGCAAGGCTTGGATCTGGTGATCGGAGCGTCCAACAGCTTCGGGAGAGTTAACCCATCGGCGTCATTCGTGGAGTCTTCACTATATCCTATCCCGATCAACACGTTCACCCCCGGTATGCAAAATTTCCCTTCCTCAAGAACATAAACAATGTGTTCGAGATGATTGCGTTCAATTCATAATAACAAATCCTCGATTCTATAATGTGTTGGATTAAGACATTAAGACATTGGAATGTATACCCAACTAAGGTAATTCTATTTGAATATGATCGACTTTTTAATATATATCTTAATTAGTTGAATAATTAAGAAAATAGTTATATAAAGTAGAAAAAGGAGAATGTTTTGGATTTGAGTGCTGTTTGTGCGGCTGAAGCGGCGCTATAAAAAGGGAAAAGAAATAATAAATAGGGAGAGAGAAGAGTTCAAATTTTGTGGGTGTGGAACTCGAAGTTGCTTTACGCAGTTTTATCGGCCAGGGTTGCCGGGGGAGAACCAAACAGGGCCAGTTAGCTTACGTATTGGGTCACCCTCTCCAAAAAAAAAATAATAATAATTAAATTAAATTTATTTTTGGAGGGGTTATAATAATTAGGAAATTAAAATATTATTATTTGTATTTCGAAAAATTTGTACGTGAGGTGACACAGAAAGTGATGGGGATTGGTGTTTAAATGCTTGTTTCTGAACTCTGCTGCCTGCGACACTGTGTGTTGTGCACGTGCTAATTAATAAGCTGATATTAGAGCACGTGAAAAATAAAACAAAAGAAGAAGAAGAAGAAGAAGAATCAAATGTGAAGTGTTGGGGGGGTTTGTGGGTTGTGGAGTCAAAAGCGGCGGCAGTTGCGGTGTGTTTCCTGCTTGTGAATTGTGAATTAGCTGTAGTGTATTGAGGCACAGTTTGTTGTCATTCCGCCGCTTGTCCCCTAAGCTTAGGCTTTCTGTTTTGTCCAATAATTCACCCAACGCCCATCCAACAAATAACCCACCAATTATTGAACCTCACTGTTCCGTAGTTACTCTCGGGTGCTGCCATTGAACTTTGCTTTTCATGGTTTGTTGATTAATTAGATGTCGAGCTTCAGCTAACTGGGCCGCTCACACTGACATTCATGAAATGATGAGAAATAGGCCTCTTTGAGCTCATTGATGGTATGAGAAATGGGCCGCTATGATACTTTTTTTCTCAAACAACAAAGAAATGAATCTTTCTCCTTCCCAAGTTCTTTCGGGCCGAAGTTTGTTCATTTAGAACAAGAAAGGGACAGATTTTATCGTACAATTCCTAAACATGTAATAACTATACTAAAGAGAATGCGATGGATAATTAGTTTATAATATCCCACGTCTTCCAAACAAAAGCTACAAAATAATCCCAAGTGGGTTTATGAGCAAGCCAGTGAAAACTAAAAAACAGGCAACGAAATGAAGCTTCAAAGATCCGGCCAAAAAAAAAAAAAATTATGGAGTAGGGATGAAGCTTCTCTTTGCAACTCATTTTGTTTCCTAAGTTTTGCGCAATTAACAATAAACTATGTTTGTAACGACTCAGATCCACCGCTAGTAGATATTGTCTTCTTTGGGCTTTTTCTTTCAGGCTTCCCCTCTCCCAACCAATGTGGGACATCGCAATCCACCCCTTTCGGGGCCCAGCGTCCTCACTGGCACTTTTCATTCCTCCAATCGATATGAGACTGCTCCCAAATCCACCCTCTTTGGGGCCCAATATCCTTACTGGCACATTGCCTTGTGTTTACCCCTTCGGGGAACAACGAGAAAGCTGGCAAATCATCCGGTGTCTGGTTCTGATATTATTTGTAACGACTCAGATTCACCGCTAGCAAATATTGTCCTCTTTGGACTTTTTCTTTTCGGCTTCTCCTCAAGGCTTTAAAACGCGTCGTTAGAGGAAGGTTTTTACACCCTTATAAATGATGTTTTGTTCCATTCACTGACCAATGTAGGAAATCACAATGTTCCAATTGCGAGATCCCAACCATCGGTTAGAGAGGGAACAAAACATTCCTAGTAAGATAGTTGATTCCTGGTAAGATAGTTGATTGTGAGATTTCAAATGGGTGGAACGTGGAAAGCTCTGTTTTTAACTTTAAAATTTTAAAATTTGAAGACAATTGAAAAATGAGTAGTTGACATGACAGTCTTTTCCACTTTCATCTCCCTTTTCCCCTTCCAATTCTATATTTATACCTCCAATCTCTTCACAACAATACACCCAACAACAACCCTCTTTTCTTCCTTCTAAATCTCTTAATAATCATAACAACAATGGCCGATGGAAGCTCAGGCCCTTCTTCTTGGAGTACAACAACCTGGTGCTCAATTCCCGAGAAGCTTGAAGCTTCAACTGCATGGCGCCATGTTGGCCTTGCAATTTGGCTACGCCGGCTTCCACGTTGTCTCAAGGGCAGCCCTTAATATGGGCATTACCAAACTCGTGTTCCTCGTTTACAGGAACATCATTGCCTTTCTCCTCCTCCTTCCCTTCGCATATTTCATTGAAAAGTACATTCAAAAATCCCTTTCACTAATCACATTGTTTTATATCCTAAATTTGATTGCTTTCTTTTGCCCTTTTAATTAGGAAGGAGCGGCCTCCCTTTAATCTCAATTTTCTGCTCCAATTCTTCCTTCTTGCACTTGTTGGGTATGTCCAAAAAAAAAAAAACAAAAATCAAATCTTTAAGCGCCATTGATCTTTTTATATAATAGCTGCAAAAGCCCCTTTTTTTAATGAATAAAA